CCTGGGCTCCGGGGTCCCGAGGCAGCAGCGTACGTGTCTCCCCGCCCCGGGCTTGGGCTGCGGAGTCAGCTCGCGGGAGGCGGGTCGCGCTTTAAGGGCTGGGGGCGGGGCCGCTCCCCCACGGGGAGGGGCGGGGCCGACAGAGACCCGCCTCCTCTCTTCGCTAAAGGGGTCATTTCGCCGGCTGCCTGATAAACTCACTCATCCACCTCCGGACTGAGGAGGCAGGAGTCCCGCGCTCCCGCCTGCTCTGCCGCTAGTTTGCCATATGACTCTGGGCGGGTCCCTGTTTTTCATAAAAGCAAGAGAATATTGAGACCAAGAGTCCCAAACCCGGATACCTATGACACATCAGGCAGGCGATATAAGGGCACTATTTAAACTCAAGGAGCAGACCCCACAGCTTGTAGAGACCCGGGGAGGTGGCGGTGGGTGGGTAGGGAAAGTAGGGGTTGGTGTAAGGGCTCTGCCTTAACGACCTGCCCCAGTCTGCCAGAGTTTCAGGTTTTTCAAGAGAAACTGGAAATCTGGGGCTTTTAGGTGAAATCTCTCAATGTGTTATTGTTGGTAGCTAATCCCAGTTTCAAAAACTCTTGGGCAGGCCACACAGAGCCCTCTGAGAGCCTCCTAAGTACAATCTCTAATACCGAATCTGAGTTCTGGGGTCCTTTTAACCATGAGGGCTTTCAGGGAGGTGAGTATCCCTGGGCCACCTTCTCCACATTTTAGAAGAAGGGACTGAGACACAGGAAGGGGAAGTGAGTCTGCCCAAGGCCCCACAGTGCTGGAGGGGTGAGATGGGGTGGGAGGTTGGGCCTCACCATCAGTGGGTGGGGCCTGGGTGCAGCTGATGGTGGCCCTTGGTAGGGGGGAGGGTGGTGCCAGGGGCTAGACTAGTCCAGAAAAATCCCCTGCCTTGGAATATTCCAGGAAAATGCCCTGCCCTCCTGCTCCATGTTTGTGGTCAGGGTCATGCCTCAGAGCCTTTGAGGACCAGCTCAGCTCCCAACTTCCAGAGGGCCTTGGCATACCTGTCATCCCCTCCAGCCCAGCTTGCACTACATGCTTTTCTTGGTATATGTAGATGTGGGGCATGGCTTGTGAACCTCTGCTCCTGGGCCAGTGCTGGCTCTCGGCTGTGTTTCATTTGGCCTATCTGGTACTTTTTAAAACTTTGAAGCCACTGCCAACATTGAAAAATCCGGTGGTTTCACATTAAAACGGGGCTTCCCAGCTTGCCTTAAATAGGAACAATGGGCAAGGGCTGAGTAATAGCTGCCCCCTCTGATAGAGGCCCAGGCTCACTGGCTGCCCCAGTCCCCACCACTCCCAAGTGTCTCCCACCAGGCTGCTTCACTCACTCACATTCCTGAGACATTTGAGTCTGTAGTCAGTACTGTGTGGCTTTGGTCAGATGGCCCTGTGTCCCCTAAAGCTCTCAGGAGGGTCCACACATGCCCTCCCCGGGGGGGGGTGCTCCAAGGGCCTCTAGCTTGACTTTCCCCAAGGAACAGGACTTCTTGACAGGCCCCAAAGCTTCTCTCTTCTGTGTCCAGTTCTTGCTGATAGGGATATCCCACCCGCCTAAAGGGTCTCTCCCGCACCCCAGTCCTGAGCCTGGACTCACACATGCTATGCTCCTACTCCCCCCAGAGGTGTAAGAGTAGCTTCCAGGGGACCCCCTCCCCGGTTTTTCCATTCTCTTCTCATAGGGAATAAAGGTACTACCCCCCCTTAGAACCTGATTCTAAGGCAGCTAGGGGGTGTGGGGCAAGGCTTGGTCCGAGAGGGGGGGTCCCAACTGCCCAGCCTGGGTGGCAGGGACAGATCCAAAGGATCTGGACTGCTTTGGACCAGTGGCAATGCCAGGATATCTAGGTTGGTGAGTCTGAAGGGGAGAGATGGGCTGGCAAGGAGAACCAGAGAACTCCTAAAGCTGCTCTTCCTGACCAGCAGTACTTCCTACGCTAAATGCAGGAATATTGGGAAAGCTGATGGGATTATCAGGTGCTAACTCCTCCCTCACGTGACCTGGTACCACCATCCCATCATCCTGCATCTTCTGGGACGTGGGCCTGGAGGTAGGGGCACAACCTGGGCTCTAGACCTTCTATGACTTTGGGTCTGGAGCAGACCCCTGGACCTGGGTCAGAGTCCCTTCCAGTGGCAGGCCCAGATGCCCGCCCTGCCACATACCGTGGCAGCGGGAGAGGTGCCTTTGCCACCCCTACCACTTCTGGTCCTCTGCCAGGCTGGAATTGTGTTCTGCATTCCAGACCCACACCTGGCTTCGCTCTCTTTCCAAGCCCGGGGTCAGGCCCGTGCCAGCTGTTGGTCAACCCTGGGGGCTGGGTACCTTGACCCCATTTCCTGGCCTGTGTCGTGGATGGCTCTGCCCGAGGCAAGGAAGACTGGCCTGACCTGTTGGAGGAGCCAGCCCTGCCCTCCGTGACTTCCTGCCCCCGTGCCCCCCAGCGCCTGAGTCAGTGGGCTGGCCAGGTGGGGCTGATGCGGTGAGAGTACAGGGAGGCCGGGTGGAGCGTCTTGAGGAGGTTGGTTTAGAGCACGGATGAGCTGTCAATGCCACCCACAGACCTGTTCCCCAGTTCTTGCCAAGGTGACAGTGGGGCCTCAGGAGTCACTCCACTCGCTCTCAGACGCTGCCCTGAACCCATCACCTCTCATTTCCACCCTCTCCTGTCCATCTCCACATAGCAATCTCCACTCAGCACACGTCTGATCCTGTCCCCCTTCACTTAAGACATGTCATCAGCTTCTTGTTGCTCGTCCGATGGAGGGAGGCAGAATTCCCCTTCTTATGTACCAGGCCCCATTCTGTCTGGCCTCTACCCACCCCATCCCCAGGCTCAGCCCCTCACCCTCACTGCCCAGGCCACCAGCCACATCATCCTTCACCCTGTTCCCCAGACAGACCAGGTACCTGCCCGCCACACCGTAGAGCCTTTGCACAGGCTGTTCTTCCTGTCTGGAGAGTATGCTCCCCACCTGGCTGATTCCTCCTCAACCCTTGGGGCGTAGGGAACACACTCCTCCCCTGCGGCCAGCCAGAGTCAAGTCCCCCTGCCCCCTGCCATGCGTCTGCAGGGAATCTTTCCTTCCCATGTTTGGGGCAGTGGAGTGTGTCTGCCTCTCAGGCAAGCCATGAGCAACCTGAGGACAGAGGTGGGGTCTGTTGCACTCACCTCCAATCACAACTGCAGGCTGAGCCAAGGGCTGGGCACAGATCAGCTCGGCCGAGGAATGAATGGTTGGGAGTGAATGAGTGAGTGAATGAAAGTCCTGTTAGAGCCGCTGAAGGGACCTGGTTCTAGCCCCAGTGGAGCCAGCATCAGTGTGGGGGTGCCCCAGGTCACACGCCCACCTTGTGCCCCTGCCCGTCTGCTCCCCCACAGAAGGCACTAGTCAGATCAGGTCAAGAAGGGCAGTTCTGAGCCCAGCTCACCCTGCCAGCCCAAGGTAATTAGAGCCCTTGTTACTCACAGGTGACCGGCCCAGAGTACTCCAGGAAACTGTGGAGACACCCAGGGCCCCACCCAGCTCCCCAGCCCACTCTGTGGCTCCCAGTAGGGTAGAGAGTGGAGGTGGGCAGCAAGCGGGCTTTGGGCAGCTAACCAGGAGGGAATGGACAGGCAGGCGAAGGGGAGGGCCTGGCCCTCTGTTGCCTGGGTGAGGGATAGATGCAGCTGCTGCAGCTGGGCAACCACTGGGACCACAATGAGGAAGGGACTCTGTTTGAGGGCGAGTGTCAGCATTGGGGTGAGGGTCCAGGCCCTTGGGTTCCTAGGGACGTGAAACCAAGACCAGGAGAAGAAACAAATGGATGAAGGCACCTGTCAGAGTTCTCCTGGACAGTGACAGGCCATCGGCCCAGGGGAGCCTGGCATAGAGCAGCAGGGGTGCTGGGGGCTTCCAGCCTGCCCTCTATGTTCCCAGCCACTGCCCCCCACCCAAAGCCCCACCTTGGGAGCAGGGTGGGGATGGAGAATGGGGAGGGCAGGGAAGCACTGTGGTGAAGGAGGCCCTGGTCCCAGCCCCTGCCTTAGTTTTAAAGTCATGCTGAGAGGGGTTCTGAGTCTCTAAGATGTCACCAGGAGCATGGGGTAACCGAGGAGGGGGTCCCCAAACCTTAGTGCAGACCTGGAGCACCCAGGCCAACTGCACTGGGCAGGGATGGAGGGAGTCCCTGGTTCCAGCACACCCACTCATCTTCCCTGGTAACTCTGGCCTGATGCCTAGGCTGGCCAAGGTGGGACCAGGGACAGAGTATATGTGGAGTCTTTCTGGAGCTGGTGAGCCTGGGATGGAGCTTGGAACTGAGGTGTAGAAAGAGGGGCCTGCTCCCCTATGCCCAGGGTCCATACGAATCCTAAGTGAAGCAGGTGGGCAGATGGAGGACCCAGGGCAAGAAAGGCTGGGACATGGGAATGTGCTCGCTGTCGGCGTGTTGGTAGCACAGGGAGAGAGAAGGTGGAGGGTCCCAGGGGACAGGCTGGATGCAGGTAGAGGGGCTGCATCCCTCCTGGCTAGCGTGGTGCTTGGCCCGAGCCCCCGTCTGGAGTCACGAGGCTGAGAGCTCTCCGGCTGCCCTCAGGCACAGAGGCTGGCCTCATCCCGCCAGCTAGCCCTCTTCTCCCTCAGGTCTCTGCTGCCCCTGCTGGACCCAGACTCCGGGCTCCTGATCCTGGCAGGAAAGGTGAGCAAGACGCTGGAGTGCCTGTCCATGTCAGCACCCCGTCCCCCCAGGGTAGTGCCCTCACGTGCCAGCTCTGTCCCATCCTTTGACCTAGCCAGCCAGCTGGGAGACTGAGGACAGCAGAGTGCCGTCCACCCCAGAAAGAAGCCTAAGCAGTACGACTCGGGCTGCACCCCTGCCAGGCTGAGTGGCCTTCGGGTCGGCATGACTGTAACTCCCAGGAATGTCAGCTTTGTGGACAAGGCCAACAATCAAGCAGGGTTAGCTCATGGCAGGCACTCTGTAAATCCTGATCATGCCCTGTTCTTACATCGTGCACAGTGAAGCCCACCGCGGATACAGCCCAGAGTACAGGGGGCAGAGCTGGGGTGGGTGCAGGGGGAGTGACCGCGAGTGGCGCTCAGGCTGGGCTTGTTTCAGGGGGAGAGTCAGTTGTACTGCTACGAGGTGGCCCCCCAGCAGCTCGCACTGAGCCCAGGTAAGCCCTGTTCTCCTCCGTCCTCCCCCTCCTCTCTCCCACCCTCCCTGACCGTCTTCACGTGGTGTCCCCCCCACAGTGACCCAGTGCCTCCTGGAGAGCGTGCTGCGCGGGGTGGCTCTCGTGCCCCGGCGGGCACTGGCCGTCATGGGCTGCGAGGTGCTCCGCGTCCTGCAGTTGAGCGATGCGGCCATCGTGCCTGTCAGCTACCATGTGCCTCGCAAGGTGAGGGGGGCCCTGGGTGAGGGGCTAGGAGGGCCTTGGGGGTCCTGGACCTCCCTGGCCACGTACCTGTCTGCCACCAGGCTGTGGAGTTCCACGAGGACCTGTTCCCAGACACGGCAGGCTGCGTGCCTGCCTCCGACCCCCATGCCTGGTGGGCTGGGAGCAACCAGCAGGTAGGGCCACGGCCTGGCTGGCCGCTCCCAGCGCGCCCCCTCCCCCCCCGCACCGCCCTGCAGTCCAGCTGTATGCTAACCCAGCCTCAAACACCTATTCCCCCTGCCTCAAACACCAGCCTCTTCCCACAGGTGCAGAAGGTTAGCCTCCACCCAGCTCACCGGCCCTACCCCAGCTTCACTTCCTGCCTGGTGCCCCCCACGGAGCCCTCCTCTGATGCAGCCCCGCCAGCAGCAGCCCCGCCTGCAGAGACACCTGTGGGTGATGCGGACCCCAGCGTAAGTGCCCGGGCCGACCACCCGTCCTCCCCATCATGCTGCCGCAGTGGGTGCCCTGAGTCAAATCGGGCAAGTGCATTTGCCTGCCTGTTGGTCTTTGAGCCTTTTTTAGCTGTCAAGCGCAACAGAGAGAAACACGTGAAACATAAATAACTTCGCACTGTTCTCTAAATTGAGCAAACACATGAAAAGCAAGACTTTCACAGAAAAATCCAGATTTCTGGCTTCTCTTAAAATCCTGGCAGATCTTAACCGAACTGGGCCTGTCCTCCTACAAAGCTAGGAGCTGGTAGCTGCCACCCTCTGTCCCCACAGTCTGAAGCTGAGCTCGCCCTGTGCCACCTCCAGCCCGTCAGCTTCGGTGTTTGTGTTTTCACCCAACGCCCCACAGTGGGGCTTCCTGCCCCCACGGTGTCCCACAGCCCGGGAGGAGGGGCCCAGAGTGATGACCCCAGTGCCCCCTCTCTCTTTGGCCAACACACCCAGGGGCCTGCTGTCTGACCCAGGGTGCTTCTCCCCCAGGAGGGCTTCTCCTCCCCTCTCAGCTCGCTGACCTCGCCCTCCACGCCCTCCAGCCTGGGGCCCTCCCTCTCTAGCACCAGTGGCATCAGCACCAGCCCCAGCCAGAGGTCCCTACAGAGCCTGCTGGGTAAGTGCGTCACACTAACCCTGTCTCTGTCCACTGCCCCTCCCAGTGGGGTCACCTGTCCTTGTGGGATGAGGTGAGTCTCAAGTAAGAGGGCAGCCTGGATGTTCCCTGGAGCCCTGGCCTTGCAAGTCCCCTTCCCAGGCGTAGTTGTGGGCGTAGTTCTGGGTGAGTTGTATTGGCAGAGGCCGGGGCACGGGCCGTGCACCCTGCAGTGAGGGGAGCAGGCAGCCTGGACTTAGGGCGGGCGGGCAGGCAGGGCATCCGCATGTGGCTCTGTCCCTGCCGCCCGCCAGGCCCCAGTTCCAAGTTCCGCCATGCTCAGGGCGCCGTCCTGCACCGAGACAGCCACATCACCAACCTCAAGGGACTCAACCTCACCACGCCTGGCGAGAGTGACGGATTCTGTGCCAACCAGCTACGCGTGGCCGTGCCCTTGCTCAGCAATGGTGGGCAGGTGGCTGTGCTTGAGGTGAGGGACCCTACCCACCACAGTGCCCCCAGGGCCCTGCAGGAAGCTAAGGGCATTGGGTACCCACACCAGCTCACACTCTCTGAGCACAGACCATGTTCCAGGCACCCACCTGGCATCCCCTTTAATCCCCTCCACTGTCCCACAGGGACACCACTCTTATCCCCGTTTTACAGATGGAAGAGAGCAGTGAGGCACAGAGAGGTTTAGTGACCTGTCGGGTCACACAGCCGTGTAAGTGGTAGAGCTGGGGTTCGAACCCAGGCTGCCTGGGCCTCAAGCCTGAGCTCTTTCCACCACTCCATGCTGCCTCCCCCCCCCCCCACTTTCTGGGACTTCACAGTTGGCACTTGAGGCTTAGAGCACAAGATGGCTGAGGCAGACAGAGAGCTTGGGCCTCCCAGCAGTGGGGCATCAGCTGCAGAAGGTGGGAGCCCAGGCACGCTGCTTGCCATGCAGACCCTGGGGACTGAGCTGTCCTGCCTGTTACTGATGGGCCTCTGCCGGATGATGCCTCCCACAGCTACAGAAGCCTGGCCGCCTGCCTGACACAGCACTGCCCACGCTGCAGAATGGGGCAGCTGTGACGGATCTGGCTTGGGACCCCTTTGACCCCTACCGCCTTGCTGTTGGTAAGGAGGCTGGGCGCTAGGTTCACGGGAGGGCCCAGGGGTCTTAATGCAGGTAGGGGGAGCCCGGAGGTCTCGGGCACAGTAGTGATGAGCCTGCACTCTGCAGGTGGGGAGGATGCCAGGATCCGACTGTGGCGGGTGCCCCCAGAGGGCCTGCAGGAGGTGCTCACAACACCTGAGGCTGTGCTCACAGGTCAGTTGGGCCCAGGGTGGGAGCTGGGAGATGGGCGGTGACTCCTGAGGGGCTCAACATTACCCCATGCCTCACCCTAAGGCCACACAGAGAAGATCTACTCTCTGCGCTTCCACCCACTGGCAGCTGATGTGCTGGCCTCCTCTTCCTATGACCTTACCATTCGGATCTGGGACCTTCAGGCCAGAGCTGAGCGGTTGAGGCTGCAGGGCCACCGGGACCAGGTAGTACATGTGTGGGGGCAGGGACCCAGCCGCAGACCCAGAGGCTGCCTCTCATATCTATCTGCACCTGCCTCCAGATCTTCAGCCTGGCTTGGAGTCCTGATGGACGGCATCTGGCCACTGTCTGCAGGGACGGGTACTTGCGGGTCTATGAGCCCCGGGGTGGCCCTGAGCCCCTGCAGGTGAGCAGGATGCACTGGGGGCGGCCTCCAGACCCACCTGAGGGATGGCTGTTGGGCCTCACGTGCTGTATCCCAACAGGAAGGCCCAGGGCCTGAGGGGGCCCGTGGAGCCCGTGTTGTCTGGGTCTGTGATGGTCACTGTCTGCTGGTGTCTGGTTTTGACAGGTAAGGACTCGGTGACCACCATCCCCATCTCCATACTTAAGCAGCTAGTTGTGTTCTCCTTCCCCAGACACACATACACCTGCTAGGCATCAGAAGCTGTCCCTGCTACTCACTAATTGGATGGATGGCTGGATGCATGCATGCATGCATGGGTGGGTGGGTGCATGGGTGGGTGGATGGTGGGTTGGTGGGTAGGTTGGTAGATGGATGGGAGGGAGGGAGGTGAGGAGGAAGAATGAGTCAACTGGGAACCAGAGGGATGAGAGCCACGCCCTGCTGCCTGGAGCCCATGCCTGGTGGGGACCAGGTAAAGAGCATGAAACAACCAAGCCTACTGGAGAGGTCCAAGGGTTGGGTATTTGGCACTTTGGAGGAAGGATCAGGAAGGGCCTCCTAAGGGAGATGTCATCTGAACTGAGCCACAAAGGAGCTAGTAACTAGAAACCCAGAGGAGAGGGCATTCAAGTCTGGATGGAAAGGCCCGGAAGCTGACCAGCCTGGCTGGAGCAGAGGATGAGAAGCAGAGTGTGGGGAGATAAGTCCAGACTACAGGTCACAGTCCTGGCCACGAGACCAGTGCGGGTGTTAGGACTGTGCTGAGGAGGGTCAGGGGCAGCAGACTGAGTAGTAGTCAGGGATGAGGATGTTGCATGATACAGGGCCGGTAGTTCTGAGAGCTGGATCAGAATGGACAGAGGCACTCTTCAGCTCCGAAGCCCTCAGGGCCCCCAGCCTGACAAGGCCAGGATGCTTGCTGGAGTCCTTGCCCTAACCCAGGCCCCTGCAGCTCTAAGGACCTGCTTCTCCCTGGATCTCCCTTGCAGCCGAAGTGAGCGTCAGCTACTCCTATACCCCACCGAGGCCCTGGCCGGTGGTCCTTTGGCAGTGCTGGGGCTGGACGTGGCTCCCTCGACCCTGCTTCCCAGCTATGACCCAGACACCAGCCTGGTGCTACTCACGGGCAAGGTGGGCTGGGGTGTGCATGTGGGGAGGTGGGGAGGAAGGCAGCTTTAGCTGGCCGCCTCACTCTCACCACTCCCGTCTCAGGGCGACACCCGCGTGTTCCTGTACGAGCTGCTCCCCGAGGCTCCTTTCTTCCTAGAGTGCAATAGCTTCACGTCCCCGGATCCCCACAAGGTGAGCCCGGGGTTGCTCCCTGGTCCTCCTTGATGTGTGGGAACAGGGCTCCCACGCCCTCTCCTGGCCAGATGGGGAAGTGCAGGGGCCTGTGGGGTCAGCAGGTCACTGGGCCAGGGTGTGCCCGAGTTAAACTCCATTATTAAAAATTAAACCGTAAAGTCTTAAGTTATATGAGCCTACAAATAAATTATATTAAGAGCCAGGGCAGTAAACATCCAGGGTATCAGTTCTTAATTATTTTAGCTGATAATACTGTTATTTGTGCTGTCGAGCTTACCTCTTATATCCATGGGATCCATCAGTGGAAATGTTCTATGGTGCTGCCACACGCATCTCCCCAGCTCTGCATTGAACAAGTTATGTTGGTAGCATGAAATCTCCATAGAAAGAGGCTATAATCAGGGCTACCGATCAGGGCATCTTTCCTCCAGAGAGCTCCACGGTTCGGGGACACGCCGTAGTTCTGGCGCTCCGTGAAGGCCCAGGTGTCAGCTCAGAATCCCCTGTTCTCCCCAGGGCTTCATCCTCTTGCCCAAGACAGAGTGTGACGTGCGGGAAGTAGAGTTTGCCCGATGCCTACGGCTTCGCCAGACCTCCCTGGAGCCTGTCGCCTTCCGGCTACCCCGAGTCAGGGTGAGGTTGGGGGCCCAGCACCCCAAACATCTAGTCTCCCTTCCCAGCCCCCATCAGGGGCTTTGGGGCCTGGCTGACCCTGTCACCAAACGGTCCCATTTCAGTGCTCTTTGGGGCACCTGTACCCCTTACTCTGCTGAGATTCTGAAACTGGCAGAAACCCCAGCCCTGGGTCCTGGGTCTTACCTTACCCCCTTCCCAAGGGATGCTGGTGTGCCCTGGGCCTCTGGTAGGTGCCTCAGGGTAGCTCCTTTCTCCTTCCCTACAGAAAGAGTTCTTCCAGGATGATGTTTTCCCAGACACAGCCTTGAGCTGGGAGCCGGTGCTCAGTGCCAGCGCCTGGCTGGGAGGTGCTAATGGGCAGCCCCGGCTTATCAGCCTGCAGCCTGCCGGCATGACCCCAGGTAGGATGAGGAACGGGGGGGTGGTGAGTAGGAAGCCCGGGAGTGGGTAGGGATTGGAGAAAGGGGCAAGATCCCCCGTTCCTGCTGGCACACAGAAACCTCCGGCACTCCCGAGGATTTGCATTTCCAGGCTCATACTCTGAGCCTTTTGAGGGCAGGGCCCAGGGTCTGTGTTTCCACCACATTTCCCACCCCTGACATGCACGCATGTGTGCGCGCACACTGCCGGGTGCCCACGACAGGCCTTGTGAACAGAGGGTGGAGTAGCTGTTGTCACCCCCTCTGGGGTCTCTGCCACAAGATTCCCTCGGGAATGGTGCCAAAGGGTTGGGCAAGGAGTCCACACTGGGGGGATTCGCTGATGTCCGATGCTGTCGCTTCCCCACCCCAGTAAGCCAGGCCCCCCGTGAAGCCCCTGCCCGACGGGTCCCACCCTCAGCACTCTACCTGGAAGAGAAGTCAGACCAGCAAAAGAAGGAGGAGGTAGGCCCGGGAGGCGGTTGGTCACTGTGGCATGCACAGGGTCCTGGTGGCACATGGTGATTGCCCTCCAGTTCTCTAGTCCAAGCCAGGCTGGGGTAGGAGCCAGGGTCTCCCCTCCCCTCTTTCGGTTGGGCAGCTTGTTGGGGAGACCTTCCAGAGCCCTGAAGCTGACCAATGGGGCACAGGACTCAGGAAGCCAGGGAAGGGCAGAAAGAGGCCTCCCTCCCGCCTGGCCCAACGCAAACAGAGCCAAGGGTTTGGGACCCAAGTGCGTTTTGACCCTGGCGCACATTTGAGCGTCTGAGGCAATGTGCGGAGACAGCTGCCCTGTGACCCCAATGCTGCGTGTCCGTCAGCCTCGGGAGCCCTGATCTCTGCTGAGTGGCTCTTCCTGTGAAAACCATCCACTTTGTCAGGGCTCTGATGAACATGGCTCTTCACAAGCATGACGGGGTTCAAACTGTGAGGTCCTGTGGTCCTGGGCTTAGAAGTCCTATCCTATTGCCTTCCCACCTCTTCTCCTGTCCACTCTCCTAGCTGCTAAATGCCATGGTGGCCAAGCTGGGGAACCGGGAGGACCCGCTCCCCCAGGACTCCTTTGAAGGTGTGGACGAGGACGAGTGGGTGAGTAGATAAGAGGGCCCTGGCATCCCCTCCCTCCCTCCCTCCCTCACCCTGTAGCCCACGTCACCCTGCTTCCCCAGACCTCTCATCCCCCTCGGTTTATCTCCCCAGGACTAGCCTGCCCACCACTACCTCTAGCCTCACCGGCTGCTGCCACCTCCTAGAACCACCTGGTGTGGTGCCCCCTGCACACCTCACTTCTCACCCTCAAACTGGAAGATGCCTCCTGGCCCTGGCACACCTTGTCCCAAAAGCCCTGGCTTCCTCTGGGCCTTGGGCACTTCTGTGGCCTCTGGGCCCCGCTGCAACTCCTGTGGATTGTCTGCACCTCTGCTTTCTGTGGGACTGGCTGCTTCTCCGCTGCCTGCTAGCATGTGGAACCAGGGGCGTGGCAGTGGGGTGGGGTGGGGTGGGAGTAGGGGTCAGTAGCACGCCCCTGGGCTAGTCCCAGCCTGGGCTGGCTTCGCCCAGCACCTTCAGTTGTTACACGCCATCCCATCTTGCCTGCTGGCCCACTTCTAGTCAAGAGCCTTGGGGGCTGGCCCCCTGCCAGGCCATTTGGAGCAGCATCAGTCTCAGGGGCCAGGGACCAGCTGCCCTCCTCCTCAGGTTTGAAACCAGTAGAAGGGGGCATTACAGAGCTGATGGCCCAATCAAGGGGGGTGTGAACCCCTCAGGGACTGGCCTGAATATACCCTGGATGTTTTCAGCAATTAAACTTTTCTAAGCTGACCACCTCTTGTGCTGCTATGGTCTTTTGGCTGACTGGAAGGGGAAGGGGACAGGAGGATGGGTGAGGGCATTTTGGCTCTGGTTCCCCCTTGTCCCAGGTCTCACTTCACTCCTGAGTCCTTTTCAGCTGCTATGAGTTCATTCATTCATCCAGCACATAGACAGTGCTCTGGATGGTAGACACAGTAATGAACAGGAGAGACAAGGCCTCTTGAGGCACTTGTTATAGTCTTCCTGTGCCGGGGAGCCAGACCGTGTGCAAGTAAGCAAACCGTGAAGAAAGCTGTAAAGAAGACAAAATAGGGGCACCTGGCTTGTTCAGCTGGTAGCGCATGCAACTCCTGATCTCAGGGTAGTAAGTTCAGCATGCCCCATGTTGGGCATAGAGATTACTTAATTACACTTGATCTTAGCCAAAAGGCCGAGAAGCGATGAGATTACTTAATTAAAAAAAGATGACAAATTATCTGAAAAGGGAGCAGCTGAGATGCAGGGAGAGCAGGGTGTTCAGTCTGAGGGGCGACCTTTAAGATGAGAGCTGAGACCTGAAGGCCACAGAGCCGCAAGAAGAACATTTCAGACAAAAGGAAGGGCGGCCACTGCACTGAGGGAAGAAAGAATTTGGAGTGTTGGAGGAAAGGGCAGTGGTCCAAAACATAGTCCAAGGCAGCCTGACTTAACATTCACTCAGCAATCACATGTCGAGTATCTTCCCTGTGCCAGCCACCTGTCCAAGAGTGGAGAAAAAAGAAAAGTCCTGTCCACCAGGAATCCACATTCTAGTGGAAAGGAACAGGTTATAAACAATGAACATAAAATAAATGAATTAAAATAATATGGCAGAAGGTGATAAGTAAGAACTCTGGGGGAAAAAAATAGAAGGGACTGAGAGCCAGACATACAAAAAAGCCACATACAGTACAATTCCACTTTCATGAGCTGTTCAGAACAGACTAATCCAGGGGCGCCTGGATGGCTCCGTTGGTTAAGCGGCTGCCTTCGACTCAGGTCATGATCCCAGGGTCCTGGGATCAAGCCCTGCATCAGGCTTTTTGCTCATTGGGGAGCCTGCTTCTCCCTCTCCCTCTGCCATTCCTTCCCCTCACTTGTGCTCTCTGGCTGGCTCTCTGTCAAATAAATAAATAAAATCTAAAGAAAAAAAAAAAGGAACAGACAAAAGCTTAGTGGTCACCAGGAGCTGGGGGAGGGGCAGTGATTGTTAATGGGTAGGGAGGTTTTTGGGGGGTTGATGAAAATGTTCTGGTGTTCTAGTGGTGATGGTTGCACAACTCTGTAAATACACTAAACACTGAATTGTGCACTTTAAAATAGTGAACTTTATCTCAATAAAGCTGTTACTAAAACAAAAGAATACAGGGCAAGTTGCAGCATTGGTAGGAGAGCAGGGTGGGCCTCATTGAGAAGGTGATACTTGAGCAAGAACTTGGAGGAGAGAGTGAGATCTTCCCAGGCAGAAGGAACCTAGAAGGAAACCCGTTTTGAGGTTTCCTGTTTTCTTACATATTTTTGAGACTTTGGCATCCTACTCATGTTCGTGGGGTGTTGTAGGTTTATTACATATCTTTTAGTACCAAATATTTTGGCAAAATGAAGGGAAGAAATTGCCCCGCATTTGACAGATGCATTTATTCTGTTGCATCTAGCGCAGCAGGATAAGCGTGAGGGACACCTTGGGTCCTGTCGACCAGAGGCCGACTCCGCCTCTGACTCCGCCCACTGATTACATCACGACACACCCCGTCCCCTGGAGGGAACAGTGCGCATGCCTAGCGCGGCGTCACGCACGCGCTCTCTCCCTTGACCTCTGACCCGCCGGCCGCCCTTTAGTTGGAGCGGCGGGGCCAGGAAGCCGGAGCCCGCGACCCCGGGGCGGAGCGGCCACCATGGTGAGCCCCGGGTAGGGCGCTGCTGGGAGGAAGGGAGGCCGTTTCGGGGCCGGGGCGGCGAGCTCCGGCCGGGCTGC